GGGGACGCTCCCCTCGAGTATCCCTGAGCACTGACCCGGACCAAGCAACTCCTCACGTGCCCTGGACCTCCTCCTCTCTGCGCCCCCACCATGGCAACTGCTTGGTCACCCCGTGCCCCAGAGCAAACCGGGGTGACCCGACTCCTCCCTTCCCACCCACACTTCCTGGTGGCTACAGCCCGCTGGTCCAGCCGTGGACGTCTCAGCATCGGGCTCCTGACACGCCTCTGCCCCGGCCCCACTCGCACCACGCGCCTCCTAATCAAGGCTCTGCCTCCCTTCTCAGCCTCTGCAGTCCCTCCTCACAGGGCCTGCACTGGCCGTGTCCCAGGGCAGCCCGAGCGCCTCCAGGGGCTGTCCCTAGCCTGACTTGGCTTCTCGTTTTAACCCTTAGGCTTTATTTTTATGCAAAACTTACGGACACTGTTTCCGAGAGCCCAGTCTGGGACAAAAGCACCTCCCACACTCCTCTGAGCCTTTCCTTCTCCCGGGGGGGCTGTGACTCCACCTCTGCTGGCCCATGTCTCCATTGTGACTTTCACCTCTTACCGACCGACTCCGCCCTCAGCACACGGATCTCCTCTCCAGCGCCCTCCTCCCAGGGCAGCATGCAGAACCCTGCTCCCACCAGGATCCAGTACTGGGCCTTGGTGTGGGAGCACTTTCATCCTGGGGCAGGCCCTCCTGAGGGCACCCAGCACGGGGCAGTCACCTCCTCTCTCTCTGGGAAACGTCCTCAAGCCGTGTGTTCCGAGCGAGACCCCCTCCTTCTCGTCCTCTGCTGCCGCGCTCCCGCTCCTCGGATCCTGGACTTCACGCGCTGTTCCTCTCATTCTCTTACCTTTTCTCCCCGCTTCCCATCTCATTGTCTTTTTGCTCTACTTTTCAGATAAACTTGCTCAATTTTATCTTAGAAATCTTCTCTTTGGATTTTCATTTAACTCTTGATATTTTTAACTTTCAAAAGTGTATTTTTTTCTCTGAAAAAAATTTTAAAGCATCTTGCGCTCATTTCGCTGTTGAAACATTCTTCCTCTTCTCTCTGAGGACACCCGGGTACCATTTTCTGGAGGTCTCCCCACTCTGAGGGTCTGCTCCCTCCAAGCTGCACTCTCTCTCCTGTCTGCCCGCTCCATCTCTGAGACCTCCGGGAATCACGGCACGCTATGGGTAACCAGGAGTGGCTTCCACAGGCACAGGGGCCTCTGAGCAGGAGAGCAGACCGTCATCTAAAGGTCACCATAGAGTGGTCTAACCGAGCCCTCCAGTGGGGCCTCCACTGTCAGTGCCTTTAGGTCTTCTCAGCTGGTCAGATCCCCCCAAGAAAAGCCTGCCCTGGAGGTCACAGCTGGCGGCGGGTGTGCCCGAGGGCAATGTCGAGAGAGGGCGCGGGGTGTGCTGGGTGCCTTGGGTCCATCTGCACTGGCCACTTCATCCTGCGTCCAGGTCAGTTCTTGTCCTGAACGGTGCCCTGTCCAGGGGTCCTCTCCATCCCTCTCCAGAGGAGTGTTCACAAATGTGAGGGAGCATCTGGATGGCCACAGATTGCTGCCCCCGCCCCAGGACTTCTGACCCGGCAGGTCTGAGATGGAGTCCAAGAACCTGCACTTCTAACAAGTTCTCAGGGAGGCCGCTGCCAGCCTGGGGCTACCCTTTGGGCATCACTGCTCCAAGAAAATAAACCTGTTTTTTGTCTTCCGTTTTTCGTTTTTGCTGGAGAGGAGAGGCAAGTGCCCACTGAGTGGAGTTGGGTGCAAGTCCCGGGGGTCTGGCTGCCTCTTCACACGCTCCCCAGCAGCCTCCTCAATCCTCCTTATCTCAGCCAGGCACTGCCCCTCCCCCGTGCGCCTTGCTGCCAATTCTGGGCCTTTGGGGAGTTGGGGGCAGAGCTGACTGGTTCCTGGCTCTACTGTTGCCAGCTTAGACTTCCGGTTTCCTGAGTCTGCTTATCATCTTACCACCCACCCACCGACTTTCCAGGTTCCAAAGGTTTGCTGCTGAATTCTCTCTTTGTGGGTTTAAGCCTCAAGAAAAACAGAAAAAAAAAAACCCAAACTACCCTTCCTATGATTTATGGAGCCTCAGGGGGAGCAGAGCAGAGGCACACGTTCAGCCGGCGTCTCTGCTGGACCCGCGGCCCCAAGTCTGCCCCACCATCCTCACTCCTTCCAAGTCGGCTAGGCAACAGCATTGCCCCTGCTGGCCGGGGCCCTTGTCCTCCAGGCAGCCTGGGCCTCACTTATATGCTCCAAGGTCCCTTAGGGAAGCCGATTGATGCCCCATCCTGCAGTGTGACGCAGAAGCAACTTCTAACCCCCGTCCACTGAGGCCTTGGGCACCCGTCACAGTGCCCTGGTCAGACTCCGAGCAACTCTGTCACCACGACCGAGCACAGAGCCCGCTCGATGGGAGAAGCATGACAAACCTCACTGGATAAAGGACCTATCCTGTCAGACGACGGTCAGGAGCCCTTCTAGGAGTCCTCTCCCAAAGTGAGGAGCCACCTGAACATGCTCTCAGTTTACATTTTCAGCTCTTGAATTTGTCAAGAACACACAGCTAGCTCAAGGCAGGAGAGGAGCTGCGGCTGGAAAAACACCCGGAAGAAAGGAGAATTCGGACCTTGAAAACCACAGCATGGCCACCCGCTTGCCAAGTAATCTTGCAAGAGTGCGTCCCCTCTCCCAGCTCTCACAGGGGAGGACAGGACTGCTGGCGAGCTGGTCACGAAGCCCACTCCCAGCTGCAGAAGCCCTGAGTCGGCACTCGGGAGCGAACCCGGTCAGGCTGCCTGGCACAGGGGCTCCGTCTGCTGCCCCAGGACAGAGGCTCTGGGAAGGCCCGTCTCTGCGTGCCCAGATGCCAGGATCCTCTCTCTAACCTGGCTGCTGCCCAGTGGCCTCAAGCAGCAGCTGCTGTTCAGGACCATAAAGGGAGAGGTGGGGAAAATGTGGACGTCCAGGGAGTGGCTGAATGGTCAGGAGAGCAGAGCGGCAGCCCAGAGGGTGGCACGCCGGGTTCTGAGCTCCAGAGGGGCCTCGTGCAGCCTTAATGACAATCTCTGTCCCACCCAGGAGAGAGGGAATTGTCTAGGAATTCAGGCATGCTTCTGTCACACTTCTGTGTCCTGATGCTCCAATTCACAGAAAAAACGGATGGAAACCACTAAGGGTCCCTGTGGTCCTGCACAGAGATTAGAGTTCCAGACTACCTCAGAAAAATAAGACGGGAGAGGCTGTGCATGAGGTGTGAAAGGAGATGTGTGTGCATAGGTGTGAATGGGGGTGGGTGTGCATGCGTACACAAGAGGGTGTGCAGTTCACGCACACATGGCCTGTGCTCATTCTTCACGAGCCCGATACAAGATCGCGGGAAAGCCACCGCAGAGCAAACATGATCTCATGAAACGCCCAGAGGCCCGAGTTCAGGTGAGGCTGGCAAATTCCCACTCAACCCCGTCCTGCCAGGGTCATAGCTGAACCCCACGATGGTGCGGGAACCCGTCTCCCAGAGGACACTGGCCGACAGTCCTGGGAACTGGGACAAGACTAAGAACCACAGGCCTCCTGACGAGGAGCAGTTATGAGCTCACGACGCACCAGGCTCTGCGTTAGGGCCTCTGAGCCTCTCTGCTGCGGGACCGTCAGCCTCTGTTGTACAGCAAGACCCTGCAGTTTCAAGAGGGTGACAACGTGAGGCACGCACAGCTGGGAACCTGCCCAGGGCTGGCTGACCCCGGAGCGCTCGACCTCAAGATCAGGTCAGCCCCAGCCCACTGTGTGCCAGGCACTGTGCCAAGGGTCGTCCACCCCCAGGAGCTCACAGGGCCGTGCCTGCTGGCCCCAGGTGCTTTGAGAAAGGCTCCTTCCACGTCAGGTTGACAGTGAAACAGACGGAGGGAGAATGGACTGCATCTGAGACCCCCAACCAAGGAGCACGTTTCAGCTAGGCTCGTCCCAGCTGAGGGAGGAAGATGAGCTGATGGCTGCACACCCTTCCTGCCTCTGCCTGATGGGTGACTGCTCGGCCACCTTCACAGGGACAAGATGACAAATGCACAACCAGGAAACACGGAGGGCTTCAAGGAGGAAGAAGAACTCAGAAACCAAGAGGCAGATGGCAGGAAAACAGCAGCCTGACTCCCCAACACGACATCCCTGCAAATATCACCAGGCTGGGGCGAGAAGAGCCAGCAGCAGACACGAGAGTCGAAGGGCATCAGTGCTGTTCCGCCCAAGCTGGGGAGCCCTCGTCCCAGGCCAGCCGAGGCTGACTGGGCAGCAGCGCCAGGCACTCTTCAACAGCAGAGTGAGTCTCCGGGTGCCCCTCTGGACCCCCAGCCTGCCCCGTGGGCTGCACTGTGCATGGTGACCCTGGGAAAACTGGGCCCCAAAGAGTCCCCCCTTTGTGCTGATGGACCCACTTTTCTCTGCCCTTGCAGGGTGGACGTTCCTGGGGCGGGGCTCGACGACTATAAGAGTCCCCAAGGCATGGACTGCAGACTCCAGCGGTCACTTTCCTACACTGCAGGTGGTGAGCCGTGCGTTCAGAGGCGGTCACCCTGACTGGCAGAGCTGCAGAGGCGAGGGAGACGCGCGCCTTGGGAAAGGCATGCTCCGCACGGCACAGGCCTCTGCCGAGAGGGCTCTCCGGGCACCGCGAGAGGCACTCTGAGCAGTGAAGGACAGGCCCCACCTCCACAGAGCCCTGGACTCACCCATGACTGACCGGGCTCATGTAAGCTGACAAGCGACGTTAATCTGTTTCAGGGGCCTGAAAGGTTTCAGCCACTGTGTCCACTGCTCCCTGAGACAGTTCCTGCCGTGACCCGCAGCCCCAGGCTACTAAACCTCTGCCCGGCCCTGGGCTCTCCGTCCAGGCACCCCCTGGCCTGGCTGCCGGCACAGGACAGATGGACAGATGGACGGACGCCTGAGGCCCCCAGCAGACCGTCTGGGTCAGCCTGCCCAGGGCCGTCAAAGACAGGGGAGGGGGCCTACCTGTCACCTCCTTGGACGAGGGCAGAGCCGCGGTGGCTTCCAGGCCGGCAGGTACAGGGCCACCCCTCTCCAGGGCACGCACCAGCTCGCGCAGCCGCTCGCACTCCTCCTGCAGCTGGGCGTGCTCCTCGTGCTGGTGCTGCCGCGCCGCACTGGCCGGGTTCATGCGCAGGTGCAGCACCTTGGTCCGGCTCGGGTCATAGTCGCCCTGTGGGACCAACGGCAGGAGGTCAGCTTGGCCGGCACCGGAGCCGAGGTTCCCAGGAGGGAGACAGAGGAGATGAGGCGTGCACAGGGCAGGGGCGCCGCCTGTACCCTGACGCTGAGCGCGAAACCAGGCATCTCGCAGCAGACATGGTGCCGGGGGTCCGCCGCCCAGTGTGACCCAGCCCTCCCACCGGGGCCACTCCACCAGAGCTCCCTGGGCTCCTGCACCCTTGGCAGGAAGGTGACAGGCCAGTACTCACCTCCAGGAGTCGTAAGGAAGGAAGCGGGAGAAACAAGAAAAGCCCACCCGACACCCGGCTGGACACTGGAGGCCCTGCACACCCGTCATGTCCCTCGGCCGTCTCAGATGCCACATGAGACAACTCTGACAGGTGGCCCTGTCATGGCACCACCCTGCTGCGCGCTCAAGGGGCAGACTCCAGTGGCTGGGGCTCTGCTGCCGGTAATGTCACCCCGGGCAGCACCTCCTGTCCAGGGGGCTTTACGAGTGCGGCCCGTAGGTTAAAAAACAAACTTAGAGAAAACAGTGAAGACAGGTCAGAGGGCCCCTCCACCCACACCCGGCGGCCCCATGCCCACACTTCAGGTCACGTGGCATGTTTGTCACCATCTTGAACTGACACTGACACGTTCTCATGAACTGAGGTCCCCGCTTTCTTCATGCTCCTTGAGTTTCCCTAATGCCCCCCTCTTTTCCAGGACCCCGTGCAGGGTCCCAGAAGACTTCCAGTCCTTGGGTTCCTTCGGCCCCGGGGCTGTGACAGTCTCTCAGGCCTGCCTCGTGTCTGAGGCCCTGCAGTGTCGGGAGGGCTGCTCAGGGGTCTGTGGAAGGCCCCCTGCTGGATCTGACGCCCCTCTCGGGATTACTGGGTTCTGGGCTGGGGAGGAGAACCCCAGAGGTCCGGTGTCCTTCGCATCACGTCGTATCAAGGCCACACCCTGTCGAGGTGACTCGATCGCCTGGCTGAGGAGCGCGCCGGGTCTCCCCCGTCGGCTCCCATCTGCCCCGTCCGACTGTGCCCTCTGGAAGGAGGTCACCCTGCACGTCCCCCCACTCTGGCTGGGGGCTGCTCCCCTCCTGGAGGGCGGAGTGGCTGCCGTCTGGAACTCTCTGTACAGGAGACTCATCTCTCCCGCCCATTTATTTATTTAGCCACTTAGTGATGTTAGGATGGACTCGTGGATGCTTCTGTTGTGCTCTGGCTCGTAATCCAGTTCGACGTCATCTTGTGGCTTTGGCCTCTGGGAGCTCTTTCAGTTGGCTCTTGTGTCCCTCTGATGCATCCCATCAGTGCCTTCTGTTTTCTGAGCACTTGCTTCCTCTCTGGCGCTAGAAGGTGGTCCAGGCTCACCCTGTGTCCTCCTGCCCAGTCCTAGAGCCAGCCCTCGCCCCAGGGTCCTGGCTTCCTCTCACTGGAGGTGGTGTTAGAATCCACGACCCCTGGGCCCTGGGTGTGCTTGTTGCTACCGGGATGGTATCGCCTTTGGGCTCCCGCAGCCGACAGAGCCCAGAAACCTGTGTGTGTGTGTGTGCGTACTAACTCGTGTGTATGCTAACTCGTGTGTATATACTTAATCTATAAACATTTCTACACCTAGCCCCCTGGCTCTCTAGTGACTGAACACACGTCCACACTGACATCTCCACCTCTGATCTGCCACCATGTGATCGTCCAGCCCCCTCCCCTTGCTGACCCGACCTCCCGCCCCACAGTGAGGGCCTGGCTCCCGCTGTCCACCATCCACCTTCCTTGCCGTTCCGCCCAGCGCACCGTGCGACAGTAGAGAAATGGTAACCGCCTCTTCGCGGAAACGCTTCATCAGCTGGAGCTCAGTGCTCCACGCACTTCCTTCTGCCTTTAGTTTAAAACTCACGCACTTCCAGAGTCCTGAGGCCAGCACCCTTCCCGCCACCCCCTTCAGTGAGACTGTCTCACTTAACCTACGTTGGGTTGTTTTGTCACCTTCTAGATTCCATCCCAGGAATCCCTCATCCTCCTGAACATTTTTTTTGTTTATTTTAAGAATGCTGTTTTCTGATCCTAAGCTTTTTCTCAAAAGTGCATACATCTTTTTTTTTTTTTTGCTGGGAAAGATTTGCCTTGAGCTAACATCCATTGCCAATCTTGCTCTTTTTTTTTCCTCCTCAAAGCCCCAGTACATAGTTGTATATTCTAATTGTAGATCCTTCTAGTTATCTGAGAGCCACCACCACAGCATGGCTACTGACAGATGAGTGGTGTGGTTCCGCGACCAGGAACCGAATCCAGGCTACCAAAACAGTGAGAGTGTTGAACTTTAACCACTGGGCCACAGGGCTGGCTCCTCCTGAACAATTTCTAAAGTTTTGCATACATGAAGGTTCACTCTTTGTGCCGTCTCATTCAATGGCTTTGACCAATGTCTAGGGTCACATGTGCCCCACACAGTGTCACACCAGGCAGCCTCATCCACTCACACTGACCCCACCCCGACCCCAGGAAACCACTTGTCTTTCCACTGCCTCCACAGCTGTGCCTTCTCCAGAGGGCACTCGGTGAGCCTCTTCAGACTGGCCTCTCTCACTGAGCTCTATGCACTTAAGGTTCCTCTGTGTCTTTGGTGGCCTGCTGGCTCATTTCTTGTCATTGCTGGATAGTATTCCATCGTCTGGAGGGACCACAGCTTGCTGACCCACCCACCATGGCAGGACACCGTGGTTGCTTCTAGTTGGGGAGATCATGAATAAAGTGGCCACAAAGAGCCACACGCAGGCTTTGTGTGGACCTGGGTTTTCAAGGCGTCATGTTTAACAGCTTCTCTCTGCCCACAACACACACCTGGGCCTAGTGCACGCAGCCTGTGCGTCTCTGCCTGGGTCCTCTGTCCCCGGGACGTCTCCTGGGAAACTCCTGCTCAGCCGTCAGAGCCGATTCCAACACCCTCTCCGCTAACTGTGCTGTTAGTTTCCAGTTGGGCTGGCAGCCTGCCCACCGTGAAGGAGCGACTCCCTCCCCTCCACGGGAGGGGCCCTCGCCAGAGCCCAGTCAACTGCTGAACCCCCTTCCTCCTCACCCTGGAAATCAGCATAACAGGTGGATGTGTGACCTGGGCTGGGCAATCACAGTCTTTTCCTCAAATTTTAAATTTGAGGGAGAGAAGTTTTCTTTCCTTGGAGGTTGTTAGCTAGGATGATGAAACCCTGAACCATAGGTGACATGGTCCCTTCTCTTCCCCTCCTGCCACAGGGGAAAGCAAGGTCAACCACACAGAGATTGAGAGTGAAAAAGCGTGGGTTTTAATAAGCACCTGCTGAGTGACCCAAAGTTCACGTACAAGCCCAGGCGCGGACTGGCCATGGCGACCTTGCGGGGGAGGAAGAAGGCTGGAGGACCCACCCTGGCAGACGTCACGGCACGCTGTAGATCTACAGTAACGGACACGGTGTGCTCACAGCGCAAGGACAGGCGCACGGACCAGTGGGCGAAGGATGGTTTCCCCAGCACATGGCGCACGGTCACCTGGATGCCCAAATGACCTTGACCTCACAGCACACGCGAACGTCAATTCCTGAGGGATGGCAAATCTACACATAGAAGGTAAACAATAAAGACAGAAGAGACCATCTTTATGACCTTGGAGTAGACAAAGATTTCTTAAGTAATGTTCAAAAAGTGCTAGCCACACATTTGAAAAAGCAATAAATAGGACTTACAAAATGAAGAACTTCTATTCATCAAAAGGGTAAGAAAGCAACAGCAGAGTGGGAGATCCATGAGACACATGAATCCAACGGGCCTCACACTCAGAACACAGAGGACTCACACACATCGGCCAGAAAAAGCTACACGGTTCAACTACTAACATGGGCAAAAAATGTGAACAGACACTTCACAAAGAAGATATCCAAAGAGCCAATGAGGAGCTCAAATCAGTCATCAGAGAAACGCAAACTGAACCCACAGGGAGGTCCCCCGCATTCCTCCCAGAACGCCCAGGGGGCAGTGAGCGGATTCAAGCATTAGGTTCAGAGCCACCAGACCTGAGTGGTGACAACGCAGGCTGGGACGACCACTGGGCAGCATCGACCAGAGGCGAACATGCGCACATCCCACGACCAGCAGCTCAAACTGCATACAAGCGTTCCTGAGAGCCAGGCACCAAAGGCCACTGTCCCTCTCTCCTAACAGCCCAGTCAGGAGACAGTGCGGGTGCCTGTCACAGAGCCTGCGGATTCAACAATGGCAGACGCACGTCAGCACGAAGACCTAGGAGCACAGACAACAATGTGGACAAACATCATAAACAACGTCCAAGGAGACGAGTCACACGGAGAAGCGCGCACCGTGTAGTTCCACTGATACACCCTGCAAAACAGGCAAACGGCTCCATGCTGCTGGGGCCAGGGAAGGGGCTGCCCGAGGGCGGCGTCTGGGAGCAGCGTGAGGCCCGCGATGCCTGTCTTGTTCCCTTTTGTGGTCTGGATGCTGGTTCCCAGTGTAGTCAGTTAGTGAAAATTCACTCCTGCTCTGCACTTTCTGTATGTATATTATTATTCAATAAAAAAGTTTTTAAAAAATGTATACTGAATGAGTCCTTGGGTCCTTTTGTGCCCAGACCAGTTCTGCCCCAACTTCCCATTATGTGAATCAATTAACCCGCCTCTGTTTGTAAAGCTCACTTGCACGGGGTTTTGCCACCAAGAGTCACGCCAACAGATGAAGGACAGGTACGTACTACGTGCCCACTAAGCAGATGCTCAATGAATAAGCTGAGAAGGGAGCACACCTGGTTCTCTACCCTCAGGACAGGGATGCCCACAGGTGGGTACTCAGCTGCCTCTGAACAACGGAAGCCCACCCCTCCACCACTGTCTGGCTGCCCAGCGGACGGCACTTCAGAGGCCACGCCACACAAGGGGCATCTGCCACGCCTGCAGTCCTCACGCCCCTTAATGGTATCCGACGGTCACTGGCCTCTTACGACTGCTCCCGATGCCAG